CCCGCGTCTCCTGCATCGGCAGGCGGACTCTCAAGCACTGCGCCACCAGGGAAGCCCAGTCAATCTCTTTCTACTTTTTAAATAAACTTTTTATTTTGGAGTAGTTTGAGATTTACAGAAGAGTTGCAAAGATGGTACAGAGAGTTCCTATACACCCTTCACTCAGTTTCCCCTAATGTTAACATCTTACGTAAGCAGGGAGCAAGCAATTAATATGGGCACATTACAGAGCTTTTCTGGGTCTCATCAGTTTTTCCACTGAAGAGCTATTTTAGGATTCAGTCCAGGATCCTGCCTTGCATTTAGAGCCAATCATATTTAATTCTGACAGGCAAGTAACTACAGTTTGGTTACAATGACTTTTTCAATGAAAAAGAAAAAAAGAGCTTTTCTTGGGCACAATGGGGGCAGTTTGCACAGGAGAACGAGCCCCTGCTTGAAGGCTGTTGCCCCTCTTTCTTTGGGCTAATTGGAATCCCTTCCAGATTTCTTTTTTACCATACGCCTCCATCCCAAGGGTCCAGGCGCAATAAACGCATCTGTTTTTCCAACACAGCCCACCAGAGAACGTTAGCAAAATGTTTACTTAGAAATAACCATTTGCTAACATTTATTGAGCACCTACTCTGTACCCGGCTAAGTATGTTCCGTGCCTCAACCCACAACTATACTGTGAGGCAGGTCACGTTATGTTTCATTTTATGGATGTGAAAACTAGACCCCAGAGTTGGAGTGGCTTGGGGTTATATAACATCTCATATACAATTGTTATCGATTGGTGGGACTGGGATTTGAGCTCAGGCAGTCTTGGCAATCAGTATCTGGCATAACCCAAGCCCACCTCTTCTTGGGTGCAAGCGTCACCTGGCAGATTTCAAGCCAGCAGGTGTGGTACCTTCTGGAGCACCTTGACATTGTCACAGTATCTAAACTAATTAGATCATTTGGACATGAGGTTGATGTCACCAAAATGGCTTCAGGAACCTGGGGGACATTATACTGGCTTCCTGAGAAGAGAACACCCTGGTGCCAGCTGAGCCTTGACATCCGCTCGCCTCCTGTCCAGGTCACACCCCCTTGCGCTGTGATGCCCCAAACAGTCACGTGGGGCTCCTGCATACACAGAGGTTGGGTTGACATGGATGGTGCTGCCCTAAGGATGCTGTGAGCTTTGGGTCCCTCTGATAGGAGGGCAGTTATGAGGACAGTTCTGGCATCCGGACCAAGGAGCTTCCCTTACCAGATTTCCTCGGGTGCATCCTTGGGGTAGTTGCCCGGGGTCATGCTGCTGAGGCGTTTTCCCTTGGCTTCCACTCTGTAGAGCCTTCGGTATACGGCGGAGGCTTCCCCGTCCTTTCTGGAGCTTTGCCCTGAGGCCTGGGAGGGGAGCTGGAGAGACATTACAGGCTGGAGAACAGGGATCTGGCTCCGCCTCCTTCATTCCTGAAATGAGCAAGTTCAAGGGCCTGCTGAAAGGCAGGCGAGGCGGCCTAAGGAGAGTCCTGCTCTGGGTGCCCGGACACTGGGACAGGGATGCACACTGGTGCCTGCTCACCAGCCCCTCCCTTCTGTCCCTATAGCTCAGAGGGAGGCCATGAGGGACCTTGGAAACCACAGCCTTCGCTGGCAGTCTCCTCTTTCCAGTGGCACTCCTGAGTGATGTAGGGGAGGGAGGTGGCACCCGGGAAGACTGAACTCTTACCACAGGGGTGCAAGTCTTCCCACCGGGGTGCGCAGAGTGTTGGGTGGGGGCTGGATGGGTGCAGGGGGCAGGTGATCCATTTGGGTGCTAGTGTGGGGCAGGAGTGAATTTTAGAGATTTAAATTTAAGAAAAAGTAGCTGATCCCGTGCAGGAGCAGAGTGGGTGCCCCTCCTTCACGTGGAGACAGCGGTGGGGCTGTGTCACCTGCTTAGAGAATGCCACCTGGTAGTTCCCTCCCTGCTGTTTCTGGACATTTTTGGCTTTCTTTTCTTCCTTCACAGGTGCTGCAGAGAGTGTCACCACCTTGGGTTTGTTCTTCTGAAAGAACAGGGAGAAAAACCCAGTGGCTGGCCCACTGGGCACAGACCAGCCCTGCACCCTGCAGAGTGGAAGGTGCCACCCAGCTTTCGCACCCACTCTGGCGCTCCCTTTCCCCCTCGCAGCCCCTCTGCGTCCTGATGCACCCGGTGCCCATATCACACCTCCCAGGACGGCCTTCCAGCCCCGGGTCTGGCTGTTCATCTCCACCTCAAAATCCACCACTATCGCCCTCCACGTGAGGGCCCCGTGCCCCAGCCTGGTAGGTATTCCTTCCGGCCCTCAGATGGCCTCTCTCGCTGCCACTTCCCTACCGCGACCTCCAGTCTTCAAGCCCAGCCAGGGCTGCTCCCTCTGCCCAGAACCCCTCCTCTCCTTGCCCCACCCCGTCTTGTCCTCCCAGAGCTGTGATCACAATGCCTCCTGCCTTACTCTTTCC